TATTCGCACTGGTGCTCCTGCGGCTTTTCGTCTGAAATCGGTTCATGTCTATGCTACGTCGACCGTGCTTGTTAAGATCTATGCTCCTACGAAATGCATCCGAGCTTGAACGACTCATATCTGTGCTAGCACGAGGACTACCGGGTCCCGGAGAAAGTAACGGCGATAAGGTTGCTCGGACACTCTCTTCTAAAGCTGGTGCCGTGGTTTGAATAGGAGGAACTTGAGGTTTTTTAGTGTGGCTCATGTGGATCGACGTACACTTGGAGCTATTATGGCTATCATCCACTGTTGATGGTGACAAAAGGTCTTGTGCCAATTTCTGCGCAGTTGTATCTTCGACGAGGATTTTTAGTACATTCAAAGCTTCCTGGCCGTTGGTGAAGAATGAGAAGAAATACTAGACAAGGCGGTTAGCGTTTTACTGACTTGGATTCTGGATGACTAACCTCATCGATCGCAAAACTCTCATCGTTGTCGATGACGCGTATCTTGCAGGTGTCGGCAAAATCGACGATTTGACTGTCCTCGATATCGATAATATTCTCAATGGGTAAAGAGATCTTGACACTATCGCCATCGTTGTGAGACCGGAATATTATCTTCTGTAAGGCTTTCACCCATTCCTTAGCAGAAGGGGCACTATCGGCATTGAAGTGATATTTTCTTTGATGTGTCTCGACGGTGAAATGTGTCGAGTCTTTCCCTTTCCCCTTCTCCGTAATACTTGCGGAAATCCCATATCTCAAGTCAATGTTGCCTCTTGGAAAATATAAATCGGCTGAGTTGGTGTAGTATGAGAGAACATCGCCCTTCAACCGGAACCAATATCTATTGTACTTTGGATTGTGTTGGCCCGATTTCGATAGATATCCTGATTTGACAACTTCATGCTAAAAGAACGTTAGCGAATTAAGAAGGCAATCCACAAGACATAAAATCGACAACATACGGATTTCTTTGGTAGGTAGGCATAGAAGCAGATGTGCTTAGATGTGATGTACATATAACCTTGGACCAATACACTTTTCATTAGCCAGCAAGGATATTCTATAATAATTAGTATTTGCTTGCATAATACGGGAAAGTAAAGCAATTACCCTCTATTACTTCTTCGGGAGTTTCGAACTTGTAGATCTCCCTCAGCTTCTTTGCTAAACTTGTCGATGGCGTTTCCTCATCTTCATCAATCTCTGTAAGGTCTTTCGAAGTTCGAGGCATGTCGAAACTGGGTCGCAAAGCTAATTTCGCTTGGGCATCCAACATTCGACTCATAACCGGTGCGTCTCTTGGTTGAAATTGTGGAGATTTTATATCAGATGCGGTTGATTCTTGAGGAGAATCGCGTACTGGTGACGGCGTACGGCTACGGCTACCTTGACCGACGGCGCTTGATGATTTAGACTTGGACTTGGAACCTAGTCGCGAGAATGATCGAATCAACTTGCTCTCTGAGAATTTCCTCCTATGCCTTTCCGATTTCCCACCCTTTTGATCTATGGTGTCATGATTTATGTGCGACTCGGAACTCTGTCGTGTTGGCTTCCTCGAATCATCTTCTTCGTCGCTGGATTGCGCATCAAATCTGGCATTGAAATCAACTTTTGGGCCAACAGCCGCGGTAATCATACCAAAGACAGATTGATTCATGGCATTAGGGGCAGTATAATCTTCATCCGCATCGTCGCCGTCTTGAAAGCGCTCAGGGAGTTCCATAGTTGCTTGGTGGCCTTCGTTCCTTCTCTTCGTCAACTTTCTAGCGACCCTCTTCTTTAACTCATCTTCCGGAGCCATTTTGGCAATAACTTTTCGACGTTGGTATAGAAAACCAAACCACTCGAGTTGTTTTGATGTTTATACCAATTGTCAAGAATCCAACGACGTTAAGATCCCAGGCGGTATCGATAAGGGTGGCTTAGGCTCCTTCAGAGTAAGCTATACCTTAAAAGTTGACTGATAGGCGATTTGAGATTGAATCACATGTAATTAAATAAAGTTGATCATCAGGTCTTCTTGGACTCAGTATGGTTAGTAAGGGATCTATTAGTAGGCAGAGAGACAATTCAAAGGTGGATAATGAATCACGAGTTGTTTGAGGATTTGATACGATGGCAGTGAGTGAGTGTATGTGATGAAGGAAGGAAGGAAGGAAGGAATTAAATGAGGTACTAAGTAGTAAGTAAGTACTATGTAACTAGCTAGTGAGGACGAGGGATCTCACAGCATGGCATTGTTGAGCGAGCTCGGTTTCTTCGGTGGTGTGGTGTGGTGTGTCTTGTTGTGGGGGAATAGATTAAGGTTACCAAGGTTACCTACGAGCCTACCAAAGTACCTACTGGCCCCTGGGTATCTCTATCTTTGACTGGTGGGCCTATCCTATCTATCCATTATCGTATCGAGTAGATCACAATGCGACGATCTGACTCTCTTTAAGTGGGTAATATGACAACATAATACAGTAAGTCACAATCGAAAGAGCTGGGGAAACAGTCGAGACAGTCCATCTAGGTGTGAAAATGATTGTAATATTGGCTGTTTTATTGAGCATCATAATGATATATCATATGTATCTAAGTTCGTTCCCTTTGTCTTGATTACTTCATAAATAGGTAGGTACGATAAATACCTAGTAGGTACTAGATAGGCATTATCAGGAAATGTACTCAGAGCCATCCCATCCATCCATCTATTTATTTATTAAGAAAATAGGTAGTTGCTTACGACTACATATCTCAGACAACTCTAATCGAGCGCAGCGAGGACGGGGGTTTGGGGGCTTGCCCCTATAAAAGAACATACAAATAAGGTAGGTTATCACCCATTATTAAATCTAGAAGAATAACAAATTATCATACAATAAATCGCCCAAGGTATCATACCAGGTGGGTATTCATTTCGTTAAGGACGAATGGATCGGTTGCTTCATTAAATTCTTCTATAACTTCGCTTTAATAACGCTCAATATAAATTCATCGTTGAACCCTCAAGATACTCATCATACTATACAATATTCAAACAATACCTAACTTATCACTCACGGAAAATCCGTCCATCACATCCAAAGACACAGTTTCCCTGACGCCGTACCACCTGCAACCCAGTCCTTTGTAGGGTGAAATTGTGCAGCAGCTGGAACTGCTGTGATGAGACCATCACCCCCCAATTGCGCTAATTGTTCTCCATTGGCTGAATAAACATCACAAAATCTATTCATATTGCCAATCACAAATTTCTGAATTCCATCTTCAGGTTTCTCTTGCCAATGAGGCTTTAAGATAGTTACCCACCGTCCAGTTTGGTTATTGTGTTTGATAATAGTCGTAGGTTTCATCGCTTCATCATCGAGTGAATGAGCTGCCTTGAAAGAGCCGGCATCGAGGAACGAATGAATCTTGATAGTATCATCATATGAGGAAGTTGCAACATGACCAGCAGGGGACCATGAAGCATGAGATACCGAAAGCCTAGACTCATGCTCACCAAGTAAAACCGGGTGTCTTGAATCACCTGTCCCTGTTATTTTCCGTAAATCCCAAATTTTCAGCATTCTATCTAATGATGCCGTAGCCACAAAATGAGGATGCAATGGATGTAAAGAAAATCCGCCTATCTTTTTATCGGAAAGGTACCAGATTTCACTTTTGGATGGAGTCCGCATATCATGTCGTCCAAATCGACCGTCCAGAGTAGAAAAGCACAATAGATTCGGATCGTTGGATGGTATTGCGATGCTAGATATAGGGATATCTTCATCCAGAGAATCTGGGGCGAAAGCCTCAACAGCGACCCCTTTCTGTAGGTCTAGTTTTCGCACTGAAGAATCATATGAAGCCGAATATAGCGAATTTCCGTCTGCGCCAAACACGAAAGAAGAGATTGACCTAGAGTGTATCTTGAAGGCAGTAATGGCTGGCTCTGTGTCCTCTTCCTCGTCATCGTCTTCTGTTTTCACTCCCGGACCTTCTTGTGAAGCGTCGAACAATCCAACGTTCCCTAGTTTATCTCCAGCAAATATTAAAGGCTTATCTACCGTTGGATGAAACCCTAGAGCGTATATTCTTTCGGGGGTGATTTTAATTTCTGGGGATTGAGTTAGCACTAGAAGATTCCTTGAAAGAACCAATTCTTACGATTGGGGTCATAAGGTTCATATAGTTGTAACCCGCTCATCTTCTCCCTCAAAACCTTCAACCCTTCATCTGTTGTCTCTTTGATATCATCTTCGGTAAAGGTTCTCAAATTCGGCTGAGCGCCACGCATGACTCCAGATAAAAATCCATTCTCCTGCTTCCATTTCTTTCCTTCAACAACAATATCATTAACATTTATATCTCCTGCGACTCGTTGCCTCTTAGCTTGTGAAACTTCCTTCGCAAATTCTTGTTCAACCTCTGCTTTGCGCTTAGCAGTCTCACTATCAGCTTCAATACCAGCCAGACGTGAACTTGTACGGGTTGGTCTAGGGGCTTCTTTTTTTATGGGAGCTGTTCTCTTTCTAGGGGTTGCTGATTTTGGTTTTGGTGGCGGTTTTGGGACGATTTTCTGTGCTGTTGTACTAAGGTCTTTTAACATTGCTTGATTTGCCGCAATATTTTCGAGTCTTCGGCGCTCGAAGGCACTCATCTCTGGCTTTTCCTTTTTGTTTGGAGCCATTTTGGGGATTTTCCTTGTGGATTGTTGGTCTGAGAAGAATCAATGGCAAAATGAAAGGGTTTACCAAATAATGCAGGGTCAATTTAATTCATGAAGTCATTTCAATTAACGCGTCTCTCTCAATTGAAGAAACCGCGTCGCGATCGATTTAAAATAGTCCGTGCCCAATTTTTGGTCCATGGAAAACTTGCGGAAAAATTATGAGGGGTGAAATAGAATTTCGAATGTTCGAACGTTCAATATTCTCCTTTCTTAAGCAACTGCGAGATCCATCATCAAGCATTGAAAGCTGGATTCAAAGCCTGTCCTATTGATCGCATAAGCTGCTCTATGTGCAATAACCAGTTATGGCGTCCATAAAAGTTGTTGAAGCTATTCCGATGGCATATTCAACTATGTCCTCCACAATGATGCCATTCTTATACCAAACTAGGACAATCGCGGGCCTACATAGATCTATTTACAGTAAAAGATATCGAAGCAGGGCTATACCTTCGATTCATGGAGCAAACTTTCATACCTCTTTACCCCGAGTCAAATACGAATCGCAAAACGGAATTTATGATGGCGAGGATAATACTGGGCTTCAAATCAGGAGGAGAGCTAGCCCTAGGGGTGGCCATTCTCATAAATCTAGATTTCGTCCAAGGATGGTCACTGATGATTACAAACTCGATCTCGAAAAGAGTGAACTGGAATCGGAAGGCAATATCGCACAGTCTGGGGACATTGGCTTCGAGGAAGATGACCAAACCTTGATAGAATATGGCACAGAAATCGACGCATTGGCAAGTCCGCACTATCCGCAGCGCGAGTCCACGATTACAGATTCGGAAAGGCACACGTTCAATCGTATATTCACAGATATATTCGCGCGGACTCAAAGAACATCTTTGGAAGACGTTGATGAAGGCATGGAAGACATGCCTCCAACAAACAGGGAGAGTGCGCGCAACAAGCTTGACAATATAATGGAGCATTCGCTATCAAACAAAAAAAATCGAAGCAAGAAGGAACAAGAAGCCGAAATTAGTAGATATCCACCAGCTCTTCGTGCCGCAGCTGCTAGAGCGATTGGTCTTGTTCTAGAAGAGGAATCAGAGCCTACAGTGGAAACTCCGGAAATGGGCCTCGACGCACAGGAACATTTGCGAGAACCTGAACGCCAACGAGTAGAGGATTTGTTACGCAATGCCAATACGGATTTTGAGCTCTGGGATGTTCTGGAAAAGGAAGTGTTCCCACTTGTTGCAAAAATGGGTCTAGCAGAGACAAAAGAGAGCCGAGATCAGCTGAGAAGAGGAATAGAAGACTCTGGCGTTCTTCCAGTCGAAGAGGATTCCACCACTGCTAAAAACACCGAGCCTGAGATTTCTCCACTAGCATTGTATGGCCCCCTCTACCCATCGCACCTTCTCCTTGGCCTTCGTCTCCTCGATCGAGGGTTCAGCAAACCCTCCCAGCTTTCTATCTCTATCCTTCCGCGGATCAAATCTTTTGGGCTGCTCTCCCATGTCTTAGGCGCCTCTACACCTCTTTACAATGAGCTTCTACGTGTTTACTGGATACGATACGACGACTTTCGAACTTGTATAGACTTACTAAATGAGATGGAACATGCAGGCCTCGAGTTTGATTCGGAGACGTATGAGATTGTTAATAGTATTTTAAAAATCAGGGCTTTCGTATGGAAGGGAGACGCAGGCCGGAACAAGATACCCATGTGGTCTTTGCCAGAGTTTCAAAGGTCTCGCCATCTTGAGTTTTGGCAGGAAAAGATTGGAAGAGTGTTGAAAATAAAGGAGAAAGGAGGAATGGTTTAGGTCAATGAATTGAAAGAAATGGATGTGCATCATAATTATATATTACTGATCATTCCACTTATTTTACTAGAACTTTTATTTCATACATTTTTTTGGGTTCTTTCTGGCTCAAATTAAACGCATGCTTCTGATCCAAATGCGACTCTAAGATCTCATTGGTTGTGATATAGTTATTTAGCTAGTGGCGTTGACTAATAAACGCGGTCTCTTTTGGTAAACAACATTGAACAGTTTCCTTCTTATCTGGAATGTATTGCAATAGCTCATTAACTATCCATGAGTACAGATAACAGGTACAATTCTGATTTTGAAGACAGGTAATATAATCTAGCTACCCTTTCGTGAGAATTCTCCTATGTAATTGACTTGTTGCTCTTGCATACACACACTGTCTTTACTGCTTTCTTTATGCAGGGCTAGTTCCACTTACTGCAATCACTCTCCTTTGTGTTTTGCAACCCCAATTGTCATTACTGGAATTCCAAAACGTTATTGGATTAATGGCTGTCGGATGTTTTTGAGTGTCTTCATGAATACCTGATGTATATCTAAGAAAATCAAATACTTTGCTTAACAGCAGTCATCAATTTCTTATGTTCAATTAGGCGCGCCTAAAACCTGCAACATATGGTGCCGCCCAGATGCTGGATACCAACAGAAGGAGGTGAGCTATTCTTCTTTCATCAAATCCTTGGAAAGTGAATACTGAGGAAATCGTCAGAAACTTCAACTTCAACTTTAAATTCAGTGGAAAGCTCTGCTAGCTCCATTTCGAGCCTTTCAAGTACTTTCAAAGCACATGTCGTCTCTCAACCTTTAACTGCAAATCCCTGTCGTCACTCACAACAGCATCAGAGCCTTCAATCTAGCAACTCTCGCTCGAGTTCTTTGCAAACAATGCCTCTTTTGGACAGCTTTATCAGAGGTCAATCAAATTCATCCGATGATTCCGAATTATTGCAACAACAAATTGTTGCGGGGCAGCTCATCCTCGACCAGATACCCCCTATAGATACTGACGGGCAAGTCGCAAGTCAATGTCAAATGAGTAAAGTTGGTACTATACAGCCAACCGAACTCATTTATCCTAAATCACTTTACCATGGCTATATTCCTCCTTTGCCTGCAAGCAAAGAGCATCAAGCATGCTCGGCTTTATTACGGGAACTCAAGAACAAAGACACGACAGAGGTGTCGTCGACGCAGGAAGATTTTGTAGAATTTGAGTTGGCCGAATTTTCGATTTACATGCCTGACACTGCTCTCTATGGGCATGAGCTGCGTGGTCTACAAGACCTTGCTAGTAAAATGGGACATTCATGTTTCCTACTCGACGGTGTTCTCAGTGTCGGAAAGTCTCGACACTATGTTCAAGGCGTACCATTCAAAGTATGCTCAATAGGAAATTACGGTGAAGAATTTGATGATGTTGATGGTGCTGTATGGCTTCAGTCTGATCTCAACACAAAAACGAATATTTACTATCGACTTAAGAACCCCGCATCTGAATATGCTCGTTTCCATCTTGGTTTCTCATGGTTGGCGAATCTGTCGAAGCATTTTGTCGATTACTCTTTAGCATGTCAGAAGCAAAGGAAGAAGGTATCGATCCTCAACTTTCGAGCAGACTTTGCGCAGTGGTGCCAAAAGATGCATGCAGACTCATCAAAATTTCAATCTTGGTATCTCGAATATGGCCAAGATGATTTCAGACAAGCCGTCTCAGCAAATATAAACTTTCTGTTCAAGGAATCGATGGGTGTAACGTCAAAACTCCGCTCATTGTTCATCTGGGAGGAAACTTTAGAACTTACAAGCATTAAAGAATACCCAATCAAAGAGGATAAGACAATCGTCACGCCATACGTTTATGAATGCTTCAGTCACCTAGGATTTGGCCACCTGCTCAAGCCTTTGATACCGACTATATTTGCAGAGAATTTACAGGAACCAGAGGATCAATCACTATTGCTTTCGCCGAGAAAGACACGCATTGTTTGTGACCCCACTCTGCCAACCAAGCTTCAACATAAATTCTTCGCTGGCGGTAAAGCCAATCTGGGAGCCGGAATGAGCCAGAATGGGGGCTTGAAACGGCAGCAGATGCTTGATGCTATCAAAGTAGGGGATGTATTATCAGTCACCAAGGATGGACCAAGTTCCGTGTGGAAAGAAGAGTTCAGCAAATGGAAAACAGAAGACGATTGTTGGTATTTGTATGTGCAAATCAAGCATCAAAGTCCTCGTGGCAATTACTCTTTCGATGGTATTTGGCTTTACAAGCCTTCTGATACTAGTTGTGCAAAGATGAAGTATCCATACGCCAAAGAATTGTTTCTCAGTGACAATTGTACCTGTGGGTCTCGGGATTCCCGGATAACTCATGATGAAGTCATTGATATCATCCCTATAATTTGGCATGGTCTACCATCAGAAACAGACATCTTCATTCGTCAGACTTATCTCAACCACGAGAGTTTTGTAACATTAAAAGATTCACACAACATGTGAACATTTGCGAAAGTCCGAGGAAGATTCACCATCACCATCCACCATTGTTGATCGCTTTCCTGTTGGACAGACGATACTTGCATTACCCCCTCGGCGTAAGTCGAAAAACAATCTAGAGCCTTATGAGATTGTACGATACGTAGAAGAAATCTCTAAATTAAATGTCAGATTAAGGAGGCTTATGAGAAGATCGGAGATTGATCATACTGTGTCTTGTAGACCAAATGAGCTTGTATACACTGATATAATAGATACAATGTCAGCGCATAAACTCGAAAGAACGTGTCTTGTACGATTTTATACTGAAAAGCAAGTCTCAAGTGGCAATGTCCCAGCACCTTACTGTAGAGACGGAGGCTCGAATGCCTTCATCATTACGAAGCGATTATGTGAGGATAATCAGACACTGATACCAATAGAAATTGATACACCACAAAGCCTTATTCAAGGTTTTGATCCCGAAGCACCGCTGAAACGAAGAGTTCTGAATGGACTCGATCTCTTCTGTGGTGGTGGTAATTTCGGCCGTGGGTTGGAAGAGAGCGGTGTATTGCATAACAAATGGGCTGTCGATTTGTTCTCAGCCGCAGTGCAAACATATGCTGCTAATTTGAAGAACTCTGAGGAAACCGATATATACTTTGGTTCAGTCAACGATTTACTAGCAGAGGCTTTTGTAGGCAACCCCCAATTACTCAAAATTCCTCTACCGGGCGATGTTGATGTTATTATGGCCGGCAGTCCTTGCCAGGGTTTTAGTAGAATGAATACGTACAAAAGCAATGATCAGAGTCTACGGAATCAGTCCCTGGTCGCATCTGTTGCTGCCTATATTGATTTCTATCGCCCCAAGTACGGATTGCTAGAGAATGTTTTGAATATGGCTCAGAAAGGATTGGGACGAGACGAAGATGTTCTCTCTCAACTTATATGTGCCATCGTCGGTCTTGGATACCAAGTACGACTCTTCTTACTTGATTCATGGAGTTTTGGTAGCTCTCAAACACGAAGTCGAATATTTGTCTCATTTGCAGCCCCTGGTTGTGTTCCACTTAAGCATCCAGACCTTTCTCACTCACACCCCCCACACGTTGGCGAACGCGGGCTTGGTAAATTAGCAAATGGCCAATCATTTGGTAGCCGCGTTCATTGTCCCACTTCATTTCAGTACCGCACTGCTGAACAATCTGTAGCTGACCTTCCTTACATTGGAGATGGAGCGACTGGTCACTGCACAAAGTATCCGGATCATGTTTCACCTATTACCTTGTCCAAAAAATATCGGTCACAAATCGCATGCATTCCCACTCATCCACGAGGTATGAGTTTTTCAAAGACATGGGATGAGGGCAATGGTATAATGACGAGAGCGGAACGAGACCTTTTTCCATATCTTGCCAGGTCAGGGAAAATTAGAGAAAGTGTTATAAAGGGTTCTAGAGCTTGGGGAAGAATAAAGCCTCACGCACTATTTCCAACTGTGCTGGTGGTAATGAACATGGAGGATTCCCGCATGGGAACGATTTTGCATTGGGACCAGCATAGACGCTTGACTTTAATGGAACTCCGTCGTGCGCAAAGCTTTCCTGATGATGAGGTGATCGTTGGGAAAAGAGGGCAACAAATCAAAATAATCGGTAATAGTGTTGATAGGACTGTTTCCATGGCATTGGGAATCTCTTTACGAAACGCTTGGCTGGAGTGTTCACCTGAAGTTGAAATGCCTACAAGAATTGTGAGAACTCAAACATCTATGGCCGCCAGGGAGAGATCTTTGGAGAATCCAGGTAACACGGACTCTACTACTTTGGGGGTTATTCTAAGTCAACGTCCAAAAGTTAAGCCATATGATTTGGAGGCGCAAAATGGTGTATCGAACGATTCTGTTGCGCTTTACTCGAGCTCATCGAACTCAGCTGGTTCAAGTGTGTCTGGTTTTGACGATTTGGGTTCAATTGATAATATTCAAAGATTTGGAGGCGACATGTCCAAGGTACAAAAAAGACGACAGTTGATTGACCATGCCAATGAACCCGCTCGTAAATCTCCAAGGCTGAGCCCAGCATGGAATCTTCCATCAAAATCAAGAGAACCTGTTGCAAATTCAACCTACAATTCCAGTACACTTTTGGATTCCAACTCTACAAAATCTTCCGGTCCGAGAAATTTCGCTACACCAAAAAGTGTTTCTCCTGACTTATATTCAGCATCACCTCCCCCACAAATCAATTCTTCCTATCAAACAGGCACACCTAATATAACGACTAATTCAAACAAGCATTCGCTTTTTCCACAAGATAATCCTGTCACAATAGATGACAATGAAGACGACAACGAAGATACCATCTGGGTGGATTCCGGACCACGCGCCTCAACACTCCTCCATCGAATTCCTCGTTCCCGCACCACTACATCCAGAAATCATAGGGCTTCCAATACCTCCTCATCAAAATCTTCACATCGCATAAAACGCTCTCAATTCATCGATC